TGGTAGCTGAGGCCCATAGACATCTACATCTCTCCTCGCTTGCGAATCAAAATGCAGATGCGTTGTCAGCCTTGAGGACTAAGATGGAATGCCTATTTTCCAGTAAAAGGCTCTCCGGTTCTCTACACTCACCATACGAAATACAGCAGCGTTAAGCTGCTACTTTACGCTGGTATTCTGTGAGAGCGTGGTCCTTCCCCGGTCGAGCCGACCCATTCGTGCTACAACTATACTATTAATATAGCTGCAGCTTGCAGCTTGGCTCTACCACATAAGACAGTATAGTAATAGATATAGTAGTATAAGTAGAGATAATGAATATATTCTCGTAATAATCTCCTTTCTGCTTTACTAGAAATATTCCTTAATTTTTTTATAGTTACCTCACGTAAGGATTAAGTAACCTACCGTTGTTTTAATAATGCGGGTGCATTTTGCACGGAATATGGCGTCTGTTCAAACGAAAGTTTATTGCCAGGATTAACGCAACTCCAGGTACGCGGCACGCTTCTACGAGATTATACACTCTTTTGTTTTTTCTTCCCGCTTAAAATTACTTTATAGAGTAGAAACTACATATTTTTGTAGTAATTAAATAAATTATTTAAGTTGTATTATATTCTTGTCCGTGATCCGAAAGATCTAAGTCATAGTTTGATAAACTAAACGATCATTAGGAAGGCCGATTCAAGGATATGATACTATGCATAGTATAAAAACTGACTTGATTCTTTGGTGCGTTTAGTAGATATAGTCGTTCAAAGCGTGTTAATTTTCTATAAGGTAGGTAATAGTGTCCTTTAAACCGAATTTCGGTCACGGCAGCCAGCCTCAACGGAGACTAGCCATTGGCGCAGGACAGGATTATAGTGCCCAAGTCTATGCACAAGAACAGTTGCACTCTCTATTCCCTCACTCTCATAGCCCGATGGGACGGTAAACTGATATGACCGATGAGAGATCAGGCGCAACACCAACGGTTTTACGTGCTTTCCGCCGAGGCCCGGGGTGAAACACCGTCAACTTCCTGACTCCGGGCAGCTACTGAGATTATCTTGACGGAAAAACTCAAGGTTAGCAGTCGCATTTACAACCACTAGACCAACAAGACAGTAGAATGTACAGTGAAAATGATTTCATAATTTCTATACACTCACGTCGCACGAGCGCAGAAGCTTACGCACTACACAAGAAATACCGACAACTTTTTAACAGTAGAATTGAACTCTATGGACCTCAAAATGATATTTTAAAAGGAGTGACAAGCGAGCACACCGTCCACCTGATGGTAAGTGAATGCTGTAACTCGTACACATCTACATCTAATATCATTTAAGAATCAAAATGTAGACGCGTTGTCACCTCAGAGGACTGGGATTGAATGCCTCGTTTCCAGTAAAAAGGGTATCCGGTTCTCTATACTCTACTCTATACGAAAGCATGCATGAGGGAGCTATTTTACGCTGGTATTCTGAGAAAGCGTGGTCCTTCCCCGGTCGAGCCCACCCATGCGTGCTACAACCATAACATAGTCGAAGCATGGCTCTACTACGTATATATGATATGATGAAATGTAATTTAAATTTAAATATGCACTTCTTTCTTTCTTCCTCTGCCTTTGTTTTAATCTGAAGATTAAAAAAAGTCCTTAATATTTTTGTTAAGTTCTAGTTTTTATAGTTATTTAGTTACAAATAAATTATAACCTGACTGAATATAAAAGTCAAGCAAACGAACTATTTTATTCATAAAACTGCAGCATTTAATTTGTTTATGTTGTAACATATCCTTTGAATAAATTTAAACAGAGGATTGAATTACAGATAAATAGATAACAGAAAGCAGATAAGTGAATAAATATAATTTATTTCTGACGAAGAAAAAAGTAGTCGACATATGCCAATATTACAAAAAAAAATGTAATTATTTACGCAAAACCTAATTCAAAGTGAGCACGCTCGGTGATCAGCAAATTTGACAGAAATTAATAATCGTGTCCGGCTTGGTATTCATGATGTGTGCTCTAGCGTATCTTTGGGAATTGTCGCCATATTGTCCCTTCCGGCGAAGCACCGAAAAAGCCAAAGGCATCGTAAGTTTTAAACCTTTTTGTTTCTTTTAATAAAAAAAAACTTTTTTTTTATAATTAATTAAAGCAATACACGAGTTTGCGGTACACCTCTCTTATTTACATCTGCGGATATATTTTTAGATACATAGGTTTATATACGTGGTAGAGCTACGCTGCATATATATTATGGTTATAGTAGGAATGCTCGACCGGGGTAGAAACGCACTCCACTTACCGCATCGGTAAGTGTAGAGAACCGGAGAATTTTTTTAGTGGAAACGAAGATCCAGCTTTGTCCTCAGGAGTGACAACGCATCTGCAGTTTGATTCTTAATTAAGGATGCATCTATGTGTGTATGGGTCACTATGGCATTTACTTACCATCAGGTGGATTGTATACTCGTTTGTTACCCTTATTCTATTAATAAAAAAATATGTGCATGCTGTGGCGACATATCCATCCTCGGTTAAGAAACAACAGTTGTCAACCCTTGATATAGGTAGATATATATGGCTATATCTACTAAACGCACCAAAAAATGATATCAGTTTTGAACATACTGTGCTTTGCTACGTGTTTCATCGGTTGTACCTACCTACCTACCAAACGCACCAACGTCATACAGGCAGATCTGCTTCATCCCATTCACATAAGTGATCTATACGCTATTGATACTAAATAAGCCATTCTAATAGTTTAGTAAATCCATGTCACTTCTCAGAATATGATAAAGTACTTCGTTACCGTCACCTACAGCCTATTAAAGTCCGCTGTTGAACGTAGGCCTCCAGGGGGGGATATTTGCACACTTGGTAAGCGGGTTGGCAACCGCAGTTTTTTTTATTTTTAGTCCTCATTAGGAAGACACTGCTGCCCATCTCTTGATTTTTTTTCCCTCTGTCGCCTCTTACGACACCCATGTGATGATATGGGGTAGTGGATCACATCGCCAATATACGGTGATAAGGTATTCATTCTGTAGTTTTTTTAAAAAACAAAAGATATAAAATATAAAATTAGTCACCAACTCTCCCTTGCCTGTTCAAAATAACACGTAAACAAGTTAGTAAAATCAATCTCTAATGATGTTTGACAAAAGTTGCGTCTAATAGTTTTGTTGTTCATTAACGAGAGTGTCAGATACATCACAGTTTGCAACAGTCATTAACTAATTTGTTTACGAGTTTGTCAACTGAACTCCGCGAAATAAAATTAATCCCTTAATTAAGTCTACACAAAATCATCATTCATCATCATTACAGCCCTTCACAAGTCCACTGCTGAACATAGGCCTCCCCCAAAGAATGCCACAAAGCACGGTCCTGAGCCACCTGCATCCATCGACTTCCTGCATGTCTTACCAGGTCGTCACTCCATCTCGTGGGGGGACGCCCTACACTTCGCCTACCGGTACGAGGCTGCCACTCGAGAACCTTTCTTCCCCATCGGTTGTCGGTTCTTCGAGCTATATGGCCGGCCCACTGCCACTTCAGCTTACTAATCCGTTGGGCTATGTCGGTCACTCTGGTTCTACTGCGGATATCCTCATTCCTAAGTTTATCACGCAGAGAAACTCCGAGCATAGCCCTCTCCATAGCTCGCTGAGCGACCTTGAGCTTCCTCATACGGCCAGCAGTGAAGGACCATTAATATTTTGTGTAGTGAAGGTCCTTCACTACACAAAATATTAACATCTTATCTACTGATCTAGTGATGTAGCTATTGTCTACGAACTTTACAAATATTGTCTAGTCATGTGTTGTCTATGAATAGATACCTCTAGATCTATGCGTATCAATGTACGTTATGAATTGTAAAAGAATAAAAGTCATATATAGGCAATATAGGTGTTAATATAATGCCTATATTCAAAAATCCACTTTCAATATGCTATCAAGAATGCCTATGAAAAGAATCTACTTATAAAGGGAACTATCCAAAGATTAGTGCGAGAATCAATCAATGAGGGCTAATAATCTTCCACTCACCAGATGTCGCTTGTTGTGACTGAGGTAAATTTTTTCGTTACACAGTGTCAGTTAATTAAGAAATTAGTTTTAAATAATAGTTTATCATTATCTAGAGTATTATATTAATATACAATAAAATGCGTCAGTGGTTTGATTTTTAATTTTTTTGCACTTTATAACTCTTTTTTTAATTTATCTACTTTAAATTATATTTATAGTTTAGTTTATTCATTTCTAATGTAATTAATAAAAAATATAACTAAAAATACGGAAAGAAACCTTAAATATTACATTTTCCTAAGAAATTATCGTGCCCGCTATGAAATCTGTCAAATATTTTACCTCATTGTAAAGTGGCGCCGCCCTGGTGGCAGAAAAAGTTGTGGATGCCCTCATTAGAGCAATCTATCTATTTACTTTTTTTCTTTAATTTTAGTTGAAAATTGTCACTGGCCGTTGCTCTAAAAGCCACAAACAAATTAAAAAGATTATTACGTAAAATTATTTATGATTAAAAAAAATAACAAAATTAATATGCTTTTGTCATGTGTTAGAGAAACAGCAAATTTTTTTCCAAATTATCTTTTATATACAAATCTTACAATAAATATTGAAAAATAAAATTCCGGCAACTGCACATCATAACTTGAAGATAAATATCTGCAAAGCCGGGGAATTATTACTTAATACAATGGAATATAATCCGCAAAACTACGCAAGGATTATAAATCGCAATAAACCGCAATACGTCATTGTTTTCTTTCAAACGGAGACCCGTTAAGATTCCCGCAGGTAGCACACGCTCAACCCTTGCATTAGGGTGTCGAGTGGGGGTAGTAATCCTATCCCTCTACGTTCAAGCTCCGCCTCTAACGACACTAAGGGCGCTTGGGCAATCGACGGGGGTGCTTGTCAATTGTGATCGATATCTCAAGTTGGTAACACGTCTTGCGAAATCATGGCTTTGTGGACGCCTTACGCCGATGACAAGGCCTTGGATTTGTCAACGAAGTGCAAGGTAGAACAAGTGTCACCGGAGTTCTACGCGAATAATGTTCCTTACCATGTACACTCGTATCAGAACGTGTCCAACGTGCCTTATCCTTACCACAGCTATCCGCAGCAGTACATACCTGCAGCGGAGCCTTCGCCTCTATCCGGCGGCAGCACGTGCTCGTACATGACAGCACCCATCAGCCCTCGGATAGGGATGATCTCGCCCCCAGCATCGCCGACCTCCCAACACGTATCACAGCCGAGTGCGAAGCGGCCAAGTTACATGGTCGATGTGGATTCACTGTCCGACGATCCGGATTTCCAAGCATTCGAGAGGGACGCATTGAGAGTTATGGCGGAGAAGAACGGAGGGGCTCTCCTCGGTAACAATCCAAGGATGAGGAGAGCCGTGCAGACGAGTCAGGCAATCGACGACTCATACAGGAAGCAGCGGGAGAGGAACAACTTTGCCGCGAAACAGAGCAGAGATCGAAGGAAGCTGAGGGAAATCCATCTTGCTTTGAAATTGACTTACTTGAGGAATCAGGTGGCTAAGTTAAAGGGTCAATTGGCTTCAAGGTCTTGCATCCGCTGTCAGCAAACATATCCCTACTGACATTGTGAGACATTAGTGAAGATACATTGGACATTTTGTACAAAATTATAATTTATATACTAAATGTTAGTTTTAAGTTAAATAATAAGCTGTAGGTAGGTACATACGTAAATAGAATTGTACAATAAGGAATAACAGGGTGCAATATTTAATTTGTAAATATGTATTTATTTGTGTAATGTGAAAATTAATTTAGTTATAAATTAAATTAAGGCTGTCCTACAATTTTTATAATGATTAAAATACTAATAATCAAGCCATTGTTTTAATTTCCTTAACTACAAACTATAATTATATTGGTACAGAAAATAAATTTGTAGGTGATATAATTATTTATAAATTGAATGTCATAATGCATTTACTATTTTAATCAGTACCTATATCAAAATTTGACTGAAGTAGTTTTTATCGATTAAAACCAGGTATCTATATTAATTAGGCGTTTATTTATTGCAAGAAATTATGAGATATAAATAAAAAAATGTCATTTTGTGGTATCTAAGGGCACGGGAGTGCCCCCGCCAAGTCGAGCAAAAAAGCGGCACGGCCCTACCATCCTTTTCTCGAAGCAGTTCAGGCAATTTTCGAAACCCTATAACATCGTTGTGGATAAAACCACAAGCCTGAATTTTTAGTAATATAGTAGGCATTATGCATGCAAACTCGGTATATTTAAAATTTTATAAATTTGAACCAGTAGTTTAAGAATTATAGATAGTCAAATTTCTTAATTTTGTCACTCACTTACTGACCCATCATCAAAACTCTAATGCACTTCTAGCAGAGATAGAAGCTTCAAATTTGGAATACAATTATTGTTTAGTATATAAATCTAGAAAAAACTAGAACATTTTGCAATTTCGGTCCAGTTTTCGAGACACACCAACTGCATAAATAACTTTGTAATTCCATATAAATATATAGGATTACAAAGTTATATTTGCAGTCAGGGGTGTCACTTCCACTATGGAAGGTATGGAGCACTCCATACCTCAAGTTTTTCAAGGTATGGAATTCCATAGCTGAAATTAGGAAATAAATCGCATATTACTACAAACCCCATATAAATAAATCGCAAGCCCTTAAACCTCAATACCCCACATCTTATAGTTCAATAAATAAGTTGAGTATATACACTGCAAACTCTTAAACCTTAATACCCCACGAGTAATGCGAACAAATTTGAAAATCGCGCCACCATTTTCCATACCTCAGATTTTTACAAAGTGACACGCCTGTTTGCAGTGAATGATGTTGTTAGGTTAACTAATTACGTAATAAGAACCCTTAAGTAGGGACTGAATAAATTAACCGACTCGGTATTACATGGATATCACAACTTTTTACGGTAGAACAACTGAGTTGCGAGACTTGGTTTATTTTACAAGTTATGTTTTTGATGGTATTTACATTTTCTTTATAATATAAAGGTGACAAATGAGCAGATAATCTAACTGATGGTAAGTATATACTGTGACCCATAAACATTTTTTTTATAGAATTAGAGTGACAAACGAGCACACAGTCTAACTGATGGTAAGCGGATACTGTGGTCCATACCATCTGTATTTAACCTCGATTAAGGATAAAAATTCAGGTGCATTGTCATCCCTGAGGACTAAGATGTAATGTCTCATATCCAGTAAATAGGGTCTCCTGTTCTCTACACTCACCATACAAAATAAAGCAGCATTAAACTGTTATTTTAGGCTGGTATTCTGTGAGAGCGTGGTTATTCACCGGTCGAGCAGCCCCATAATATAACTGTAGCATGGCTCTATCTACCGCCACATCTACATTTTATCATTTAATTATTTAATATTATCATTTAATCATTTTTAAAATTATCATTTAATAAATTGAGAGATGTAGTCTGTGTTAAAAGGTGTCGAGGTAGACCGAGACTAACTTTCGAAGACCATGTGAGCAAATTGCTCGAAGAGGGTAGGGTCAAGAGTACTCGGATACCTAGACGTGCATGTATGAAAAAGATAATGAATCTGAAAGAAGCGAAAGAGGTATGTAAGGATCGTAACACTTGGCGATCTGTTCTCTCTGGCTACCCCGTCAGGGATTGTGCGTGAAGATAAGTAAGTAGTCGGTGTGCCATAGCATTACTTACTGAAATTTATATAGTTAGGTACATCCAGCTTATGAATATATTAAAATAATCCTGTTTTTTCCTTCTTAAATCGTCGAAAAATATGCTGCTAGTCGTTCATCAAAGAACTTTTAATTACCTACTTGATCGGGATTTGCTGAACATAAATTAATTTTTATTTTATTTTATTAATTATACATATTTTGTGTATACAAAATTTGACAAACAAAATTTAATTAATTTTTTTTTTCATATTCCTACATCGTCATCTTATTCTGAACTCTGTCCAAAATTTCAAGTCTCTAGCTTATCGGGAACTAAAATTTTAGTTGCAAGATTCCACCCGGAACGACAGACAAACAAGAAAGTGACTTAAATATAATTAAAAATTTTGTACAACCGACTTCAATATAAGTTACTAAGAATAACTTCAAAACTAGGTATTGCTAAGATTTGATCAAATTTATATGTGACCACATGAGAAGCACCAGCTTTCAAATAAAAAAAGAATCATCGAAATCGGCTCACCCACAAAAAAAAAAGAAAAAAGAACATGCAGTCGAATTGAGTACCGTCTCCTTTTTAGTCTTTTTTTTATAGGATAAGGGTGACAAACGAGCACACAGTCCACCTGATGGTAAGTGGTTGCTGCGGCCCATAGACATCTACATCTATCCTCGTTTGCGAATCAAAATGCAGATGCGTTGTCACCCGCGAGGACTAAGATGGAATGCCTCATTTCCAGTAAAAAGGGCCTCCGGTCACCTGCACTCACCAAGCGAAACGCAGAGGTAAACCTCTACTTCACGCTGGTATTCTGTGAGGTCGTGGTACCACCCCGGTTCGAGCCGGCCCATCCGTGGGACAGCAAAAGCTGCCGCGTGGCTCTACCACTCACCAAAGTCGGTAGAAAACGTGGTAAAAAGGGTTATTATGATATTATAGAATTTATGGATGATAATAAGCCCTAAGAATTTGCTACCAAGCTATTTCTAATTTGTTTTCTGTTGTTAATGTGTAACATATGATTGTAAACTTATTTTTTTTTTCAAAATTAAAAGCCGCGCTGGTTTTCTTGCTGGTTCTTACCAGGAGAGAGTTATTTTCCGAACCAGTGGTAAATTAAACATTAGAGTGACTCAATAAGTAATATTTTTAATCTATTTATATATTAAATAAAAAAAGTTTCTGTTTCTGTTATAATTTAATATAATATACACAAACCGTAGTGAGATTCCACATAGAGTATAGTAAATGGAATCCCCTTTACCTTTAGATTATGTAGTTTTTTTACATTGCGTAATAACAGGGAGCACTTTAGTGGGTGTGGTCTGCGCAGGCGCCAAAATTTACCCCACCAATCAGAGAAGACGTGGGCATAGATAAAAAAGTAAGCGCAAGGAACCGACATCTTGTGACATAAAAAAATGATGACCGCAATAAATTGTAATGTGATTTTCTATGTGGGTATCTCTATATAGTATAAAACAATCGTGTCGCTTCCCGCCGTCTGTACGCTTAGATCTTTTAAAGTACGAAACGGATGTTGATGCGATTTTCATCAATAGACAGAATGTTTTTTTATAGGATATGGGTGACAAACGAGCACACTATGTCAAACCCCCCCCCCCCCCCTCCAAGAAACAATCTATGTGGGAGGCCTATGTTCAACAGTGGACTTTCATAGGCTGTAATGGATGGATGGATGTTTACGCGAACACTACACACTTAAATGAAACTAGATTTTACCGATTTTATCGCGTTTGTTATTTAAATTTCCGACGTTTCTAGAACTTTACAGCACCCATGGTCACGGGGGACTGGGGTGGTCCGACGTCGCAATGTTATAGTCAACAACCGCTACCTTCAGTTTAAAATATTATTAATATGTTTATGTTTAGCTGTGGATTTAAATATTTTAGGGTCAACAGAAATGAGACACTTTTAATCCTTAAACTAATTCGGTATATTTACTGTAATCTGGTAACACTAAACACTAAAAACATCTACATTAGACTTTCTGCTTTACGACGTGTGAAAGGTCGTATTTGCCGCGCACGCATTTCAGTTTCACTCCGGGACAGTCCTTTACTCTGAAATAAAGAAATATTATATAAATACAGATTCTATTAATTATATTGGAATATGGTGATGGGGAAAAATTGGGTGAGTACCTACTGTACGAAAGTCTGTATTAAATGCTAAGACAAACAATATGTTCTACAAAAAAAATTAAAAAATAAATATAAAATAGCGAGACCTGTTTTGACTACATACGGCATTAAAGATACAGTAATGCCCAATTTCACCGACATCCCCTAAACAATCACATAGTTAGACGACCGCTAAGCTAAAAGGTCCCCTAAACCAACCCATAACTAAAATTTGTTTTCACGAACGCAACGGACTTATAGCTAGGGGACCCTTCCTTATGTGACCGATTTTTTACGACGATAGTGCTTGATACCCAGTTGTAGTTACCGGTTTTATCGGAAATGATATATATTAATACAAAAAATACGTATTCATGTATTATTTTAATGAAGAAATTAGTTCTTTCATATTTTGACTGATATATGTTTTCATTTTGTTAATATTTTAATAAAAATATCATATTTTTAGTTTATGTTTGACAAGTCACCGTATTTGACACTCAGCTTTATCTGTGCATTGACTGTTTGACATTTGTCTCTGCAAGTCACAGCTGCAAGTTTTCGTGGTGTTTCCTTTGGTATCTCGTTTCTAACTTTTTATTTTATAATTATGGCCGAAAATAAGAGAAAGCGGTGTCAAAATTTCACGTTTGATGAAAAGGATAAACTTGTAAAGTTAATGAATACTTTTAAAAATGTTATATTAAATAAAAAGACGGACGGTACAACAAATCAAGCGAAGAATGAAGCGTGGGTGAATTTGTGCACAAGATTTAATTCCACAGGAACCACGGCTAGGTAAGTTATTGATAAACAGTTATTGATAAAAATAAACCTTTTGTTTAGTACTTGTTATAGTTGTTTTAAAGTTAAGTTGCCTTTACATCCAAACTTTATAGCTGTAAATAGTTATTGTCATAATTATTATCTTGATTTTGTATAATATGCAATGTGTGTATTAAAGAGTTTCTATTTACTTACTTGAATGAGAAGTTACCTACCTAATACCTGTATTCTCAGTACATTAACCTCTTTATCTACTATGATGAACGTACTGAATTGCCTTTTAATAACCTACCACTAACATTTCAGAAGTAAAGAATCTCTTATGAGAGTCTGGGAGAAAATGAAGACTGATGCGAAGTTATACAAAGCACTTAGCAAAAGCAGTCACAATGGCACAGGAGGTGGCCCATCGTGTGTTAAAACAGATATAATTTTGGAACAAGTCAGTGACTTGATGGGCCGAGCATGTACAGGCATAACTGATGTCCAGGATTCAGATGCTGACCAAATTACTGAAGCCAGTTCATTACCAATACTTGGTGATGAGACAATGGAAATTTTAATATTTCAAAATGAAAATGTTAGTATTTATAGAATTCTCTATTATGTAGGTATATTAAAATTAGAAACTGACTGACAAATAGTCCAAATGCCGTAGTAGAAATCAGGGCAATAAGTTTGTTACATATTATAATATTATATAAAAGTAAGTTATGTATATTATTGTGTTTGTTTAAGGAGATGCTTTTGTTCCTACCAGTGGTTCAATAGAGGGCTAGACAGAGAAACACTACGAGGCGACAACGACAAAATGAACTAAACTGGCAGAATTTTCAATACAAAATTATTTCACTCATTTGTATAGGTGTCGACCCACTGTATGATTATATTATATTTACACTGTGATTTTTATATTAGAATTTGTTTTGTTACAATTTTAGTGCAATACAAGAAATGTGGAAAATATTGAAAATAACGATGTTGGGAATAATAATGACATTGCTCCAACACTGTCATCACCAACATCGTCTCAATTTATAAAGTCCACACCTATATGGAAAAGACGACGACCAATAATTAAAGAAAATAAGGATAAAGCTGAAGTTGTTTCAACGTTATGTGGAGGTTTTAAAGATTTGAATTCTAAAAAGGCTACTGTGGAAGATTTAAAAATTAAAATGTTAGAAGAAGAAATAAAATTTAAAAGAGAATTGTACCAGCTGCAGTTAGAAACAGCTAGAAAGGAATTGGAAATTAAAACTGAAGTATGCAACCAATTAAAAGGTATGTGTTTTATTTATTGGTGAAATTACTATATATATTTTACATAATAAATTAGATATTTATAAATTATCAAAATATTGTGTAATTTGATTTCTGCGAAATCCATATGACAAAGAAGGTCTGTCAGAAAATGCCATATTATTTATTTGTCCCCTTGCAATTAGCTCTTCCAGGTTAGGCACATCATCATTATTCACAGGCTGTTGCTCATTTCTTAATATGCATATATTATGCAAGATACAGCAAGCTATAATGACATTAATGGCATTGTTTAAAGCTAAACGAATTCCAACCGCAAGTACTGGAAACCTTCGTTTTAGCACACCATATTGCCGTTCCACCACATTTCGTGTTCTAATGTGGGCCTCATTATATTTTCGTTCTCCACTTGTTGTAGGGTTGAGATAAGGTGTCAAGAGATGAGGCTAAAACAAAAATATTTTTAAGTATTATTGTATATAATAATGTAATTTATATGATGTAAAATATTTCTTTTCTATTCCAGGTCACACCTTAAACTTTCAAAATGTATCAGGAATACCTAAAAATGGTTCTGCAAATAACTAGTTTAAGTGTACTTTTTAATTAATTAAATATCCCTTACCCATGCATAATCTTTTTATTAAATAAAAAGTATTTATTTAATCAATATTTTGAGCTCTGTGATGAATGATGTTATTCTTTTTGTTTGTAATTTTTGTAATTCTTTTTGTAACCTACTTAAGTTTTAATCAATATTATATTATTATTCTCCTTATTTTTTCTTTTACCTTTAAGGGATAGCCACTATCCCCAAGTAAATGGCTGTCTCCATACTCCCCTCTTTCAAACTTTCTATAAATATAGCTATTTTGGTAAATTGCTGAGTCATGTGTAGAGCCTGGCCAGCGTGCAACAACATCCTGGACCAACAACTTTGCTGATGCAATTGTTTGGACATTTATGGACATGTAGCCTTTCCTGTTTCTAAATAGTTCAGCATCATCTCCACCTATAGATATAAATAATACTTCATCAGCATTGCTTGATAGACTACTAAGAGAAATGAACTTTTAGTGAAAGGTAGTTAAATAAAAATGAGGAATTTACCTGGTGACTGAATTTTTACATGTGTGCAATCAATACAGCCTAGTACATTAGGGAATCTAGCTATATCATAGAAGTCTATCTTAACTCTGTCTTGGTCTCTGTTTGTATCAGGAAATATAATGAATTCTCGACGTAGGGAAACAATTGCTTGAGACACTCTCTTTACTATCCGGCTGGATGTAGCCAAACTAGTACCACCCATATCAGCCACAGCAAGCAAGTGATTGCCTGTGGCATAATATCTTAAAGCTATTAATAATTGATTTATGGGTGGTATGGAATTGTTCCTGTAAAAAATATAAACAACTACAAATTAAAATAGGTAGAAACATAAGTAAGATATACCTCGGGTATCAATTTACCATGGTAGGTAGGTTAGCACCAAACAGGTACCTACGGCCTACCTATACAGGCTCATTTTCTATTCAAAAGTTACTGTTAGGAGAGCAATAAAGTAACCTTTTATGCTTTTACCTTTATTTCGTAGCTAGGTATAATAGGTAATAAGTGAAAATGTAGGAACCCAGGAACCCACACTTTAACTTAAATATTTAATAAACTACAGTTTTAATAACATTATAGACTATTGTACATACATTGAAATTGATAACATATGTAAATAGTTAGGTACTCACCTATTATCAGGAAATTCCAAAATATGTTCAATTTTTTCCAACAAATATATCACTGTTGATTTAGATAACCTATATCTTCGGAAAAAATCTATTTCATCGAAATCGTTGAAATAATTTGGTCGTTTTCGATATATTTTAGGTCTTCGACTACGATTTATATCAAATATAGTATCAGTTGTGTCTAAATTATCAAGAAAATCAAATAGATCACGGTCCATCTTGTCCTCTAAAAGTCGCTTTTACTTATGTGAAGGTTTATGGGACCAATAATCCATCTCATAAATTTAGGGGATCGTTTAGTCAGTAACGGACCCTTTAAAAGTGGTGAAACGGAAACTATCCCCTAACTGGCCGCTAAATATGCTAAGGGGTCCCATAAATCTTACGGGTCGTTGGTGAAAGTGGGCATAAGTCTATTAGTTTTTTTTTATAGAATAAGGGTTATAAATGAGCACAGAGTCCACTTGATGGTAAGTGGTTGCTGTGGCCCATAGACATCTACATCTATCATCGTTTTCGAATTAAAATGGAGATACGTTGTCAGCCGTGAGGACTAAGATAGAATACCTCGTAACCATTTAAAGGATTCCCGGTTCTCTACACTCACCATACGAAACACAGCAGCGTTAAGCTGCTATTGTATGCTGGTATTCTGTAAGAGCGTGGTCCGTCCCCGGTCGAGCCGACCCACTCGTGCTAAAACTATACAATTAATATAGCTGCAGCATGGCTCTACCACGTAAAACAGAATTTTTGTATTTGGCAACCAATGAAATAAATAAATGCTTATAAGCTTATAACTGTTATCGTTTATTGGTCGTGTATTTATAGGTACTTATCACTACTACCCCTTATTGTACCATGGGTGTCGCAAGAGTCGACAGAGGGAAACTGAATCAGGAGATGGACAGCGCCATCTTTCTGATAAAAAACTCAAACTAATAAAAAACTGCGGTTATCAATGCGCATGCCAAGCGTGGCAGTTATGATACAAACCCTATGAGATAATGTAAGGCGGGAGGCCTACATTCAACAATGGACTTTCATGGGTTGTGATAGATGAAAATACTTACACAATAAAGTATGGTGGCAATTTAAGAGAGAGCAACACCGTTTCTTGCCATGAGTGATGTATCTAAGACGCGTCAATGAGAAATTGGGAAAAGCTACAAAGATCTTTATGGCTTTCGACGGATGGCAGTATAACCAATGCAGATTTAGGTTTAAGGCCTAGGACGTCAATATTAGAAAGGACAATTATACTCTAAAATCGATAGTTATTTCGTCTACTATAAGTTTAGTTTACCGTGTAGTGGCGGTGTAAGAATATCTATCAACTCTCACGGTTGTGAGAGTTGATAGATAGATAGGTGTATGTATACACCACTAAACGGTAAAATAAACTTAATTATAAGTTTAGTTAAGTGTTTGGTATGGCGAGTGTAGAGACCCTTTTTACTGCAAACAAGGCATCCCATCTTAGTCCTCAGGGGTGACAACGCGTCTGCATTTTGATTTTTAATCGGGGATAGATTTAGATGTCTATCCACAGTATCCACTTACCTTCAAGTGGACTGTAGGCTGTAGCATTAGCACTTAAATTACAAATAAATTTACTATCGACACTTTCAGTTGCCACTCTATGCCATATTCTATAAAGAAGCTACAAGACGTTTTATCTTGCCGAAAATGAAATTCACCACACACCTAGTCCCGAAAACCAACAATTTGTGTTTTCCCCTGATGGGATTCGAACCTAGCTATCGCAACTTACTTAGCTTTGTACTTTCTGAGCGGTCGTATAGCTAGCTACGTACCTGCCGACTCGCACGAGAACAATATTGTGCTCCTGTAAGTTGTGCCCGATGCCGGGCACGTACGCGACCATCTCGCGGCCATTTGACAGTCGGACCAACACGCACTTGCGGTTCGCCGAGTTGGGCTTCTTGGGTTTCCTGATCAGCGTCTTTAGGACCACGCCCTGTGGACAAATTAATATACAACACTCTCAATCGATTCAATTAACAAAAATAAACAAAATATAGAGGGAAAACAAAGTTATATCATTTTCTAACTACCCGCTCCGATATGAAAAAAAATGCTAAGTTTGTTGCTTTGTGAGTGGAAGACATGGCGAAAACGAATTTTATGAGAAAGGAGAATTCTACTCGTAGATTAATTTTATTAATTTTTCGCACCGATAACCCCTATATTCCAAATTTAATCGAAATCATTACAGCCGTTTTCGAGAACGCGACAAATAAAATATATAAATAATTAATGATTTCTTACATTTACGCGAACACTATACATTGAATAAAACCGTGTTTTTTTTACGGATTTTATCGCGTTTAATAGCAATATTATGGTTATAGCTCGAATGGTTCGGCCGGGGAAGGACCACGCTCTCACATAATACCAGCGAAAAATAGCAGCTTAACACTGCTGTGTTTCGTATGGTGAATGTAGAGAACCGGAGACCCTTGTTACTGGAAATAAGGCATTCCGTCTTAGTCCTCAAGGGTGACACGTATCTGCATTTTGATTCTTTATTGAGGATAGATCTAGATGTCTACGGGCCACAGCATCCACTTACCATCAGGTGGACTGCGTGTTCATTTGTCACCCATATTGTGTATTTGAAAAGAGTGTCGTGGAACACTGGGTTGGAACGAAGTTCCTTTCGTAGTATATTATTATTGATAAACGTATTATATTATTGATTAACAAATGAAAACTATTAAAATGAAGGATTATTTAAAATAATATTACTTTCATGGCAAGATAAGAAAAAGTGCGAGGGAGATGGATATTATTCCATCTCGCTCGCACTATAGAAAGGGAGTCATGACGGAAAAATCTTACACTTTTTCTTGCTCAACCTCCATCCGCCAAATTCTTACCGTGCAATAAGGAACTTCGTTCCAAAAAAATATCATTAAAATACTTTACTTCAATGTAATATAGACATATAATTGTTTGTATAACAGTACAGGAGAGGACAATCAAAGCGACAATTTAAGTCGTAGTTGGGTTTTAGCCTTTTTCGTTCAGAAGATTAAATTTAAGAGGATTATAGAAACAATTTTATATTTTGAAACCATTCGCCTACTGCGCAAAATAACAAAGATTAACAAAGTAACAATTAGGGCTCCTTTATTTCATACGAGTTACAGTTAAAAAGCAGCCTCTAATTTCTGAGAGGGTTTAGCGAGAAGTTAGGACCGTGGTATTTAAGCGCTAGCTATAAATTTTCCTTTTCCTTCACCGCCGAGCATTTGGTTAATTCCTACTTGTATTAATTTTTTTGCAAAGCTTGACTACTATCCCAACTGGTGAAAAGTGGCGATGAATAGAATAGAATAGAATATTTTTTATTCAATATTACACAATACTTATTGAAAGTAATTTTTTATTTACCACTGGTTCGGAAAATACCTCTGTCCTGGGAAGAACCAGCAAGAAACCCAGCAGGACTTTTTTTTAAACATAACTATTTCTTAGTTTTTTTTGCTTGTACAAATTTTAAATGAGTTTTAATAGAACCAGCATGGTGGCGAACACCTCATTCCCAGGGGTTTTTTCCCTTATATACTTCTTTGATATTTTGATAACCTTTTTGTATAATTTTTCTTTAATAAAACATTTAAACATGTTTATTGGCAAATTTTGTACATTTTCTGGGATTTTGTTGTCAATCAATCAATCAATCAATCAATGTCTTTATTCATTAACAATAAATTGTGTACGAATATTACAGGAATGTCCAATTTATATTGCTAAAACTTAACTTAGTTAAACAAAATAAATTAATTAGATAATCAAACAATAAAATAAAATAAAAAAATTAAATTAACTAATAAATGTCATCACAATCATTATTCTACCTACTTAACGATTAATATTCATCACAAATGTTGAATAATATATTGTTTACATAATATAATAAAAAACTAAACTTCCAAAAAATAAAAAGAAGAAATGAGAAATAATCAAACTATTAAATTTATTATCATTTAAATAAATATTATGACTACTCTATAGTTAAAATTCATCAACACTGTAAATACATTTCTCTATAAGTAGTGCCTTCAACTCTGTTTTAAAAACACTTAACTTTTTTATTTCTTTTAGTTTTTTTGGCATCTTGTTAAAAAGTAAAACTGCCTGATAACGAGGACAGTGTTTTACAATTTCCATTTTAGGTATAATAGGCAAAGTCAAGTCCATCCTTCTGGTGCTTTCTCTCTCTTTCATTTCTTCATCACTTTCATAAAAATGCCTGTTTTTTATAACATCAGTCAGAAGTATCAAAACATACACGCTGGGTGCTGTAAGAACTTTTAGCTTTTTGAAGTATTCTTTACATGATTCCCAAGGCGGAATGCATACCATTGCTCTTATAGCTCTTTTCTGGGCAGTAAATGCTTTTTTCATATTATATTTATAGCTATTGCCCCAGAATTTGATGCTATATCTTAGCTTGGATTCAACAAGCGCATAGTATACGTTTAAAAGTTGATCTATTGTCAATTCTTCCCGCAAGGTGCGTAAGGCATAGCTTGCTGAACTTATTGTGTCTGTTATGGCTGCCAGCTCAACTTTCCAATTTAGGAGATCGTCCAGATGAATTCCCAAAAACTTCACAGAACTTACAGTTTTTATTATTTCCCCATTTACATTCACTTCTGTTATGTCATTATTTCTTGTGGTGGCTTTGAACATGACGATATTAGTTTTAGTTGCATTTTGCAATAAGCCATTTGCTGTGAACCATTCTCGGAATGTTGTCATAGCTACAAAATTGTGAAAGCGTATACATTGCCCCATAAATGAATTAGTGATGAAGCCCTAGAGGGTAAATCGCACTGTCTTAGCGTAACAAAGGCCTATTCACTCTTGCCTTGAAGACGCCCATATTGTATTTGGACGGAAAGACAAACGCCGGATTATTTCATTCTTTTGCTGTACACATTAGAAGATATGAAGACAACCGTTTGGTTCGGATGCGTGGAATGATATCGACAATAAAGGGTGTGACCCGCCGACCGCCTGGTTGTCCGATGGCGAAATGTAGAGAAAGGAATTAAAGCATGTAATTCTTGCGTACACTCTCCGAAATGCATCCTATAGAATACAGAGAGGCTGGTTACCTGCGCCTGTGCTCGTGGCTGACAAGAACGGTTTCATCCACTGAGTCCAACGCTACTAGGTGGCATTCATACGTGGTAGGGCCATGCTGCAGCTATATTAGTAGTACAGTTGTAGCACGAATGGGTCGGCTCGACCAGGGAAGGACCACGCTCTCACAGAATACTAGCGTAAAATAGCAGTTTAACGCTGCTGTTTCGTATGGTGAGTGTAGAGAACCGGAGACCCTTTTCACTGGAAATGAGGCATTCCATCTTGGTCCTCACAGGTGACAACGCATCTGCATTTTGATTTGTAATAGAGGATAAATGTAGATGTCTATGGGCCGCAGCAACCACTTACCATCAGGTGGACTGTGTGCTCGTTTGTCACCCATATCCTATAAAAAAAAAATTGCAGCACCGGCCCAAATGTGACAGCAGTGCTCCATGCACGATCGTACTTGGGTATAAGGTAAGATGCTGACCCGGCGTGAAGTATCGCCACACCTTTGCAAGGGCACCTAATTTCCTTGCGGCTGCTTTGACCCTGGACTCATTGAACCACCCATTGTGAGGTTCGGAGAAATCTCAACCGCTAACGAATGCAGGCGGGCGGTGTACTTCAAAGGTATATTCCGGAAATCCAGGGTGAGCGGCGTTTTTAGCGGTGAAGAGACACACTTGTGTTATGGAGGCGTTGAATCTCACATGTTTGGCATTGAACCATTCGGAGACTGCCTGCAGTGATTTGCACGCTCAACGATAGCTTCTCTTTCGGACTGGATTTGCTCCCGACTGACTCGAGCATTCGGCTGGTACATCAACAACTGCGCTGTCGTCTGCATACCCTCAGATTACTATTAAAAATTTCGGAGGTGGCGGGGATGGAACCAGGGTTGCTCGCATACTGTGAAGTTTACTAGGGCGCTTAGCAGCTGAAGTATCATTCTCTTACTTTCATGCCCCCAAGCAGCTGTTTTAATAAACAGTAAGAGAAACAGTATACCTACAGGCGGTGAGGCACTTACGTCTTAATCCTCCTTGATTGAAGTAGGTTGTAGGTGTACTTGGGCGTAGTCACTTACTCACACAGGTGGACTGATATTTTGTTTGATACACTAGTGTCGAACAATAAATCATGACTTTTTTATATGTCGTAGAGCCACGCTGTAGCTATATCATAGTTGTAGCACGCATTGGTCGGCTCGAACGGGGAAGGAACGCGCTATCAAGAATATCAGCGTAATATTCAAATTCAAACTTTATGTATTTGTGAATACAGTATGGAGATATGTAATGGAGACAGATCTTTAAAAAAATGATGTTCGCTGCATTCGACGCTTAGGAATACAAATATTATAGCTACATTTGAATCTATTACATTACCACAATTAAATTATTTCATTATATTATTTATATTATAATTATATTAGAATGATCAACAATGATGTAATTATTAATTAGAATAGTATGTTTACAATATATATCCAGTCAATCAAATGTTAAAAAATGATATATGCAATTTCATTAATGATACCTCGCTTAAATATTCAATAATGGAATAGTAGCATTTCTCAGTTAGAAATATTTTAAACCTGTCTTTGATGAAATTGTATGAATTTTATTTTTACGTCGATTTTTTGTTATCTATTAAGTAATCATTAAATATTTTAGGATTAGTTTTTACAAATGTCACAACTACATAAATATACAGCGCGGGAAATGTTCATAATTTTAATTTTTAAATTGCGGTGGTTTACAGCTTTCTGTACTCGGTATACTTGCAATAGTTGAAATGTCATTAAAACCAGTGCTATTTGTGTGTTTTAATAATTTTATAGTTAATAGAATGTCCTTAGGTGTAATAAAATTAAAAAAAAAGAATTGTATTTATAATATAGCAGCTTTTTGCTGGTATGTTTCGTATGGATAGTGTTGAGATCCGGAGACCCTTTTTTCCTGGAAACGAGGCATTCAATTTTAGTCCTCATAACGCATCAGCATTTTCATTCTTAATCGAGGATAGATGTAGATGTATATGGGTCACAACATCCACTTAACATCACGTGGACTGTGTCCTTGTTTGTCACATTCTATAAAAGACGTCTACATCTAAAGAATGTATACTCTAGGTCTAGAATAAATAATATTACGACATCAGTCGAAGGTCACTATACTCCGCTAAATAAAAGTCCCGTCGACTACTTCTATAATAGTACATAAATGTTAGGTATACATTGATAAATTATGCTGGGTTGTGTACTATCCATGTGTCCGACACGAATTTTAGTCCGGAGTAATCCTTCATCAGATGGCGTAGGTAATATAGTATTTATACTAGAGCACCTTCTTCCGGTAATTTCCCATGTTATAAATTTTTCCCTTGATTCAGGTCAGTACCCTAATCTTTGGAAAAGGGCTTTTATAAAGCCCCTTCCAAAAGTTCCTTCTCCCATTCTTCCCAATCATTTTCGCCCTATATCCATTCTACCCTTTCTATCCAAAATTTTAGAATCCTGTGTTTACAAGCAAATTTCTACATTCATTTCGAAACATAACCTACTGAGTATATATCAGTCTGGGTTTCGCCCTGGTCATAGTACCAGTACTGCTTTAATTAACGTCACAGACGATATTAGAAACGGTATGGAAGAAAAAAAAGTAACAGTACTGGTACTAGTTGATTTCTCAAATGCTTTCAACACAGTTGATCATGAAATCCTTCTATCCATACTGTCTCATCTAAATTTTGGCCCTACAGCATTGGAATGGTTTGCATCTTATCTTCGCGGTCGACAGCAGTCAGTCTGTGTGGGGCAAATAACCTCAGCTTGGGCTGATGTGGAAGCTGGCGTACCGCAAGGCGGTATTCTTTCTCCTATAATTTTTTCTATTTTTATAAACTTTATTACCTCCATCTTCGATTGCTCGTACCATCTGTATGCCGATGACCTTCAGCTATACGTGCAAGCTGAAATTGGGGATATCCATAATGGGATTAAAAAATTAAATAACAACTTACAAGCTATCAAGGATTGGTCTACTCGTTATGGAGTATTGGTCAATCCTTCAAAATGCCAAGCTATACTGGTGGGTAGCTCAAGGATGCTAGCCAAGATTAATCTTGCAGACATACCCTCTATCTACTACAATGGGATTACAATACCGTTCAGTAAGTCTGTAAAAAATCTTGGCCTACACATTGACAACACGCTGAATTGGAGAACTCAGGTTACGGAAGTCAGTCGTAAAGTCACTGCTACGTTACGTACTCTGTATCGTTTAAAACATTTTCTCCCCACAAAGTCTAAGATCATGCTTGTCCAATCACTCATATTACCCATAATTGATTATGCAGATGTGTGTTACCCGGATCTGTCCCAGGATCTTCTGAACAAGCTGGAACGCCTTCTCAATAACTGTATAAGATTTATTTTCGAGCTTCGTAAGTATGACCATATTTCGCAATATAGATCTAAGCTTAATTGGCTTACAATCCGGCAGAGGCGTATTTCCAGAATATTACTTGTTCTTTTTTCCATATTAAATGACCCATTTCCGCCTTCTTATCTTAAGAGCAAATTTCACTATCTCTCCTCATCTCATGATAGGGTTCTACGTTCGTCTTCTAACAACAAAATATGTATTCCAGTTCACTTCACCGAGTTCTATGGTAACTCCTTTACAGTTCAGGCTGCACGCCTTTGGAACTCCTTGCCTGACGACATCAGAAAAGCTCCCAATAAGTTTGCTTTTAAAAAGTTGGTGCGTAATCATCTATCTGTTAAAGACAACGCTACTTAGATGAATCATCCATGTCATTTATATTTTAGACGTATATATTTATAGTTATTTATATGTATTATTTGTATATGTATGTTGGTATGAATATATGTATGCTTATGTATGTACGTATATATTTGTATACATGTATAAATAGGATATATTTTTATAGTTTATTTATTGTATATAATAGTAAAATGTATATAAAATGTAATTAATTATACATTTCTATTTTCTTTTTATTCTATATTGCTACACCTACTTCAAATTCTCACCACTCCATGGGTTGACTGGTAGAGAATGCCACAAGGCATTAAGTCCGCCCTTTGTATTCTTTTAGGTTAAGGAATGCAATAAAGAATAAATAAAAATAAATAAATATAATTTATTCTAGACCTTAGAGTACACATTCCTTAGGTGTATACAAATAAATATTCGGACATGTTGCGGAGAGCTATCTGAACAAGACATCGTGGCATACCTTAGCAAAAGGGTTTCCATTGAGTGGATTCCTCGACTTCCTGTTCTTGATGTGGGGTCCGGTCCTGTGCATCTGTGCCAGTGAGGCCATCGCTCTAGTCACCAGACCTAGTGGAGTTGTTGAAGCATTCTGTACAACTGGTGCATATAACTGTGGTATGGCTGAAACAAAAACGGTTAATGAACAACGGTTAAGAAAATGCTTTGTGGGATAATAACCTATAGTAATAATTATTAATTCTGGTATTAATTATAGTCCATCACAAGTCTAGGGCTGAAAATAGACCTCCTAGGCATCATAGAGCTAACTATGACAACGGGACGTCAAACACTCGGTCTACAGTGACCATTGGTACTGTACACCCGAAATGTCGGGAATTAAAAATTAGTAAGTTAAAGTAAAAGTGATAAAATCCGTAAAATTTGTTGTATTAAATAGGCCATAGATTGGCTCAAAAAGAAGATATTTGCCACAGCAGCCACGCTAGGCAGGCAGATTGGCAGGTAGTGTTGATGAGAATTCCTCTTTCTCATAATGCAGAAATTCCTCCGCCATTCCACATACACTTCCACGTCCTCAAAGAGTGACCCCTCGCTTCCTCATAATTTAAGAGGAATTCGCGAGGAAATGTTAATTTTTGTACTGTTTTAATAGTGTAGTTTTGGAACGAAGTTACTTGTCGCACGGTACGGACTTAGCAGATGGGCGCTAGGCGAAAAAAAGTGTATGAGTTTTCTGTCACGACCTTGGGAGCTATGAGGAAGCGAGATATAATAATATCCATTTACCTCAGACTTTTTCTTATCTTGCCATGAAAGAAATATAATTTAATGACGCTAATACGTTTCTCAATAGTAACATACTACGAAAGGAACTTACTGCTCCGTGGCGCAGCGGCTTAGCAATGAGTTGCTGCTCTGGGGGGCACGGGTTCGAATCCCGCACGGAACAAGTATTTGTATGGCCTACAAATAATTGTTCCGGGTCTGGATGTTTGTACTTGTGCAATTTATGTTTGTAAACTGCCTCCACGATACAGGAGAAAAACCTAGTGTGGGAGTAACGTTTTTTCTAAAGTTAAAAAAAAAGTAAAAAAGCATACTCACACATGTTTGTTTATTCTGCTGTTTCACAGTGGTATTCTGTGAAGCGTGGTCGTACCCCGGTTGAGCCGACCCATGCTTGCTACAGCCACAATATAGGTGCAGCATGGTATCTATCACGTACAAATATTTAATGTAACTAGTTTTTTTTTCGGATTTTATCGCTATTTATTTTTATATGATAAGGGTGACAAACGAGCACACAGTCCACCTGATAGTAAGTGGTTCCTGTGGCCCACAGACATCGACATCCATCTTCGTTTGCAAATCAAAATGCAGATACGTTGTCAAGTTGTCTGAGACTAAGATGGAATGCCTCGTTTCCAGTAAAAAGGTTCTCTACACTCACCATACGAAACACAGCAGCGTTAAGCTGCTATTTTACGCTGGTATTCTGTGAGAGCGTGGTCCTTTCCCGGTCGAGTCGATCCATTCGTGCAACAACTACACCAGGAATATAGCTGAAGCATGGCTCTACCACATGAAAAAACTTTTTATTTCCGGCATTTAGTTCGATCACATTTTATTTTATTACTTGAATCTCAGCTAATAAATTTTTATTAACATCTTTATTACTTTTTCCATTCATGGATTCTTCATGTTGTCTTGCCCATTGCACTTATCCCTTCATTATTACATACTTTTTAAAAGTGACACCGTAAACATCAAGCTCGTAAATAAAAATAGTAAATAAATAGTCTTATCGTGATATTAACCAGATATTTGTTATGATTCAGTATATTTAGTGCTAATATATGCTATAAAATAAAAAGGAATTTCAAAATAATAAGTTACACTATGGATGAAAATGTAACAGTCAGAAATCGTAAACGAACAAAATCAATGAATGATTCTAGTACTTCGTCATTATTTGATTGCACTGTGACAAGCCTTCCGGATGACACGCAGTCCCAAGATTTTAAGGATATAATAGAACTGAATGAGACTATAAAAAGGCTGTCCTGTGAATTACAATCTGCGCACCAAGAAATAGATCATTTAACATGCGAAAATGTACAACTCAAATCAGACTTGTCAAAAGCAAACAAAACGATCGATTTATACAAAAAAGTAACTATTAGGAGTCCACGGCTTACATCACGATTAGACCGTAAAAATAAAAATAAAGATTCTTTGAGTAGCCCAATGATCCAACATACAAACATACATTTAACAAATGACATTTTCTCAGACAAGGAAGAAACCACCAAACAGTTTGAAGAAAGAACAAAAAATTGCAGTGATATTGTCAGTAAAAAAGAATCAATGAAAACTCACACAATTATTGAAAAACGGAAACTCTGTATTTTAACCAATTGTGGTGTGAAAGGTAGATTACGGGATATTGAATCCACATTTGCTGACCAATTTAACTACTGTCGTTACATCACTCAAAACTGTGGAGTATTGGAAATGTTAGCAGATATTAAAACAAAGCTGCGAAACTATACTATCAATGACTACTGTTTAATCCTGATTGGAGAACATGACTTTAAAAAAACTGTAAATTGTTCTGAGCTGGTCAAATCTATTCAGGAATGTTTACAAAGTATATCTCATACAAATATAATATTATGTGTTCCTACATATATATGCAGAGCCCCGATATTTAATTATAAAGTAGAGATGTTTAATAATTTATTATTCATGAATGTGCAATACTATAAATATGCATATATTTTTGATTCGAATTATAATCTCTCGTATGACATGTTTTCTTACAAATCTGGTAAAATCAGCAATTATGGATTAAAGAATATATATAAAAATATTATGCAACAAATACTTGTCGACATATCAATATTTCCATATGACATGGTCACTACGTGTAGCATTGATGAAATAAGTAACGATATATGTAAATGCACTACAAAATCGCCAATTGCATTAAATTCTATGGATGACGCTCGGTTTCCCACACCAGAGTTACATGCATGTGATGACCATGTAATTGTGGAACAATCTAAAACATTTTTTCGTTAATTATAAACATATAAATATATTACATCAAAACATTAATGGCGTTATAAGTAAGTCAGATCTTTTAGCTTTAAATCTCAATTCTCTTTCGGAACAGGGCATTCTAGTTGATGTAGTATGTTTAACAGAGCACAATATGTTGAAAGGTGACACCAAATTATTATTCATAGAAAACTACATACTTGCAGCCTCTTTTTGCCGTAAAAACCGCCATGGCGGTGCCTGTATTTTGATTCACAATCATCGTGAATTCAAAATCTTAAATTCTATAGAAAAATATGGCATTTCTGGTATAATTGAGTGCTGTGCCATAGAACTTACATTACATGGTCTAATAATAGTGTGTATTTACAGACCACCTCGAAACAATACACAAAATTATGATCAGTTTTTTTCTATATTTAATGACATACTTGCTACATTGTGTTTCACAAGGAAAAAAATAGTTATTTGTGGAGATTTTAATATAAACACTTTAAAAAAGAGCAAAGAGGTTAACATGCTTAATCAAACAATTATTGGCTATAATCTTAAATTGACCATTAATAAGCCAACGCGAACTGTAAGTGGATCTTGTTTAGATAATTTTATACACAATATTAAAGGAAGTAAATATAACATTTTTGAATTTGCTCTGTCTGATCATTCAACCCAAATGTTAACTTGTAAAGTTAAAGAAACTTGTTCTCTCTCACATTGGTTAGTAAAAATTAGAGACTATAGTAAAGAAAACATGAAAAAATTCAATCAATGCTTAAAATCACTCACTTTTAACGAAGTTTACAATACGACTGATCCAAATTATGCATTTGATTATTTTCACGAATTATTCATCTTATTTTATAATCTATGTTTTCCATTTATATTAATAAAAAGAGCACCTCGGAAGAAACCTTCCTGGATATCGAAAGGTATAAGAATATGTTCAAAACAAAAAAGAAATTTACTTTGGCAATATAGAAAACATCCGACTACACACAACAGAAATTTGTTCAAATGTTACACAAAACGTTTAAACAAAATAATAAAGTTAACACAAAGGGCACAGAATGATTATAAAATCAAAACAGCTTCAAACAAATCTAAAGTTACTTGGTCAATCATCAATTATAATAACAGGAATGTGATTAAAGAGGAAATCAGACATATCAATAATAATGGAGTGATCACTGATGACCCCAAAGATATCGCAGAGTTATTTAACAATTACTTCATAAATGGAAATGACAGTAATATAAGAGCAATGAATATTAACTCCAAAGTACCCAATTCTTATAACTCATTATTTATGAACCCAACTACTCCTTTCGATATTAATAATATAATTAAGTCATTAAATAATACAAATAGCACAGGTTATGATGACGTTAGCACAAAGGTATTAAAAAATGTATCAACCATCATCTCATCCGTTTTATCCTACATCATAAATTTAAGTATAGCCTCTGGAATATTCCCAAATAAATTAAAAAAAACGGTAGTTAAACCTATATTTAAGAAAAAAGACAAGAGTGATGTTGCAAATTATAGACCCATAGCACTCATACCGATATTCTCTAAAATTTTTGAAAAGGTAATAAGTCACAACCTTAATGATTTCTTTGAAAAATATAAAATATTCACAGAGAAACAAGTCGGATTTCGAAAGAATAAAAGTATAAATTTAGCTGTCTTTCAATTTCTGCGTACTGTAATGACAAGCCTTAATAATAAGCACTTAGTATCTGCTCTATATATGGATTTAACTAAAGCTTTTGACTATGTTAATCACAGTATCCTCTTAAGTAAACTAGAAGCATACGGAGTCCGAGGAAATGTCCTCAATCTCATAAAAACATACTTAATAAATAGACAACAATGTACACAAATTACCCGTATATGCTCAAAAACGTATAGACAAATAGTTTACTCATCCTCATATCGCGAAGTAACTCAAGGAGTACCCCAGGGAAGTATTCTTGGTCCATTGTTATTCCTTGTTTATATAAACGATTTACCAAATTATATAAATCAAGATATGGTACTATTTGCAGACGACAGCACAGTGATGTTTACAAGCACAAGCAAAAATCAAATGA